GACTGGATTTGGCATTTTGTCTACCTATCGAGTCCTTACCAAGGACCTGGGATAGGCAGATGTGGATGTTTGATGGTATTACAGATATCGTCGCAGGATGAAAGCAGTTCCTAGTAAGGCCGCCTTTTGCAATTGACTAATGGCGAATTTGTCAATGCCAATGGTGTTCAAGTGGTGCTCAAGTTGTTTTGGGATTGCATTTAAGGCGCCTATTACTATTGGTACTACCCTTGCTTGTTTTTGCCACAGTCTTTCTATTTCTATTTCTATTTCTATTTCTATTTCTATTTCTATTTCTATTTCTATTTCTATTTCTATTTCTATTTCTATTTCTATTTCTATTTCTATTTCTATTTCTATTTCTATTTCTATTATTATTATTATTATTATTATTCAGTGAAGGAGAGGTATATATGGTTAGAAATGTTCATTTTATAACTCTACTACAATAAAATGGTGTTTATTTCCAAGTAAATGTATTTGGTAGCAAAAGCAAGCTCTATTATATTTCTGAGGCCAATATGATGCTATGAATAAATGAATTTAAAATATGGAATTGCTCACATTCCATAACTTTTCTTCCTTACCAGAATATGGAATTTTTAGTTTGCCTTTTTTGCTCTAATACATCAGGAATATAAGAGCTGTAAAAAATGAAACATTGTGGATGGTCAGTAGAAGAAAAGTAAAATGTTACCCGCGTAATCTACAGTTGAAGGAGTGCCATTAAGCCAAGGATCTAACTTTATCTACAGCATCTCTACTCTGACTATTGTATACATCCCTAGTTTGCATGTGCAAAACACACTGTGCATAAACCATTGCATGCATCAAACAGCTGTTTTCAAGTAGTCTGTGTCCGAAACAAACATGCATTTTGATTTGAAGCATAGCAAAACTTCTGGAATGCAATGATTGTTCTGGGTTCAGAATAAATTAAAATGCCTCTAATCCCAATTTTACTTCTAACACATTCTTCTTATGTTTATTTGGGATCAGCTAGTGCATTTCCAGATGCAATCTTTTTCATTTATAGAATGATTTGAGCAGTGGTGGGATTCAAATATGTGAACAACCGTTTCTCTGTGTGGATGCCACTTCCGGAAGTCCATTCTGGGCCTGGGCAACAAAAAATTAGCTACCGGTTCTGCCAAAGTGGTGAGAACGGGCTGAATCCCACCACTGGATTTGGGTCCAGTGCTCAGAATGTGATCAGCAGTTCAGACCTTCCCATAATTCAGACTGTTACTAGGGAAGTAATTGGAGAGACATATGTTGAAATGTCACTCTGTTAGAAGAAAAAGTATTATGAGAAGGGTAAAGATAAGCTAGAAAGTTTCCTTATGATTCTACTTTTCTTTAGACAGAGCTTTTTTTTGTAGAATCAAATGTTGCTGTGGAGAAGCATTTATTTGTATAGGCTCTGAGTAATACGGCACAAAAGTCTGAAGTAATACAGCATGGGTGCTTACTATTGAGAAGCAAGCCGGAATCCCCTCCTGGGAAAAGACGATGCCAGTGGAAGAAAACTGTGGGGAAGAGGATGTGGAGGGCTTTGTAGTAGACAATGTCAACAAATGGTTCAGAGTTGATCCTATTGAAAAAAGCTCTTCCACTTTAAAGGAAATAGAAGATTTGGGAAGAGGATATAGTCCTTACATAGTCCTGCCTCTGTTATCTTTTATGTTGTGTGTCTTCCACAGACTCTCTCTCTCTTTCCACCCCGGATTTTGAGACTTCTGGAATTTGCTGGGTTTTCAGGGGACAAGGTACAAGTGCCAGTTTGAAGGCTATGGATGCATTATTTGGGCTTGCAGAATGTATATGGTGATGTATAACTGTTTTGTGAGAGGACACTGGTACACTTAGATCAGTAGTTAAATCCTTCAAAAACTGACTTCTCTGGGTTTCCCTGGTGTGGTGTCTTCCCAATACATTAGTTCACAGGTGTCAAACTCACCACGTCACGTGACGTGTCGCGACGTATCATGACTTTTTTTTGCATTACCAGAGTTGGGGTGGGTGCGGCCTCTGCATGATGCAACCAGCCCATGGGCCGGCAGTTTGACACCCCTGCATTAGATGATAATTTCCAGTATTCCTACCATCATGATCAAGAGAACACAGCAATAGATTAAAAACAGTTAACCTAACTGGGCTGAAACAATTCAAATGATTGCAATATTTTTAGAGATAGTAATGAAGCAATAGTTATGGTAATATGTAACACTTAGCTTGGATGTTTTAAATTCATGGTTCATTGAACCACTAGTAAGATGTAATTTGTAACATAATTAAATTGGATGAATATGAATGCCATGCTAATCCAAAACAAAGCCAGACTACTTTATAACTTAGTATTATGTATGAACTCAGAGATGCATTTCACTCTTCTGGCAGTGGGGTGAGGGCACTAATTGCCGGGTTCCTCCATATGGTCAATTTGAAATCCCATAAAGGTCACTAAAACCAGTGCGCCTATCCAGAATATTTTTCTGTATCTGGGGAATTTTTTTTTCTCACCTTTGCTGAATTTATCTGCAAATGGGTACAATATTTCTTCTCTATATTTCTTTCCCTGGATTCTCTGTTTTCTGAATATTATTTCTAATTTCCATTCAGGATTATGGTTTGCAAAAACTACATCAAGGAGCCACCACACCCAACCTGCGGGCTCTACTTTGTACAATGTTGCTTCTCTGCTACTACACTTTCCTTACCTTCATTTTAGGTAGGTGAGTCCCTCCACCGGAGAGAAGCATTGATCAAGGAACTGGGTCTCTTTCTCCCAACAGATGCTGCTTTGGGTGGGGGGGGTGGCTTTCTTATTTTGATTAAGGTCAATTAATGGGGATATATACACCTTTTTCTGCAATTAACTAAAATAAGTTCTAATGGAAGGCATCAGCATAGTCATGGTTGAACTAAAAAGAAGAAGAAAGCTGGCCTAACCTAATATGTATAAGACTGCTTGGCACTCCTTCAGTCATAGTGAGATGGATTTCTGCAAGAAAGCAAGTGGGCTTTTGTTCTTACATATACAGTAGTATAACTATATTGCCCTGTCCAGTATGATTCACATTAAGACTTACTGAGATAATTGGAATTCAGAAACTCATGAAATGAGTTTTTATAAATGTTTATTAATCAGTTCAGAAAAGGGGGCTACCTTCCTCAAGTTTAATGACAAGAGGGCTTCAGTGCAAATAGTGACAAACTGTGTTGTTTCTCTGGCTGATTGTTTAAGAGGTTGAGAGAAAACTAGGAAATGGGACTGAAACATTTCAATTTTAGGGACTTGTAGATCAGAAATATAGCAGAAATCTTCAGGATTGGCTACCTAACCCAACTGGGAACCCAAGCAACCCAAGAAAGCAATATTTTCAGGGATAACCATAAAGTATGGTTTACTTATTTTACATAACAATATCTTCAGTCTCTAATAGGATATTTTAAGGTCTCTCTGGGAGACATGAACTTATTCTTATTCATGCTATGCACCTTTATCTCTCTGTGTTGTCCCCAGGGATTGGTGAAGATGATTTCTCAGAGGCTGAGGCCCTACTGAAGCCATACCTCTCCCGCTATCCGCAGGTAAAATGGTATCGGAATGATTGGCATGTCCTTGAGGTCACTCACTTTGTGTCTGTGTTTGTGTCTAACTGAAGGATCAGTTAGATTTTTCTTTCCCTACTTGGAAGCTGTAAGGAAATGCTTGGGCTGCAACAGAGCTAGATGTGGGGGAAGGCATGATGTGTTTACGTTTTGCATCTAGGAGGCCGAAGGGGTGGGCTGCACTACAGTGGAGAGGTGTTTGGGACTCTTAACCTGAGCCTTGAGCTGAAAGGGAAACTTAGATTTAGATTCATATTTATTTTCTTTTGCGAAAGATAATCAAATAACATTTCTCTCTTTTGGTGCTTCACTTTGTTTCCAGGTTTTTAAATTTTTCTTATGGTAAAGGGCCTCAAAAGCTGACAGTATCTTAGATTTCTTTAGATTTCTGAAAGGCCGTGAATGTTTCAGTTTTCTTCACTCTTGGTTTTGTTTTTGAAAATGATGTCATTTTTTAATGTAAGAGAGCTTTTTGAAGATCCAACAGCCACTTTACATTTAGAGCTTCATTATCTCTTATCTTCTGTCTAGCAGCGCTTAAAAGGCGTTCCTTTAGAATAAAGCAAAATCTGTTAATTTGATATAGCAGGTAGTTTGGTTAAACACCGATTGATGCAGTAAAAACTCAGCTTCAGAAAGTTCTGAGGGGGGGGGGAGCTGATAAAAGTGGGACTAATCTATCCAAAGTAGTATAGAAATTTCTGAGGTTATCTTTCTCCACTATGAGGTATACACCCCATGAGGACTCTGGGACTCCAGCTAGTTTTTTTGCTATCATCTTTGATATGGTTTCTTACCCCAGTAAAGATGGCTTTGGATGGATAATGTGGGAGGGATAGAGTGGATCAACATAGGTTCTGTCATATTGCTTACAGCTGTTTCCCCATACCTGAGTATCCTTTTCTTTAATTTTGCAGAGTGCCATTTTCTTGTTCTTTGCTGGGAGGATAGAGGAAATCAAAGGGAACATCAATGAGGTGAGGTGCTTTAGTATGATCAGAACAGGAATCTAGCCAGTATGTCTTCCACCATCATGGAGAGTATGTGTCAGGCATGCCCCAGCTAAGTCCCTAGGAAGGAAAGACCCTCGACTGCATTTGGTTGAAGTGATACATTTACTAAGGATTACTGGTTGCAGCTAAAGCAGGCTAGAACTAAGGCTTCCTGTGCAAAAAGTTACAGACTTTCCGCTTTTCCCCAGCCCTCCCCCTTTGGCCAGTTTGGCTTCATCCAATGGCATGCCACTTAGGTGTTTGGGAACCCCTCAGATGTTTGGTGCCACTGGTGCAATTCACATTCCTGTTCCAGGCTCTATGGCCTTGAAGAATGGAACAGGCTGGTTCTCACACCTCTGGATTCCATCAATCCACCCCACCCCACCCCTTTGACTCATCTCTACCCTGTGCATGCCAATTGCCTATTTCCTCTTCCCTCCATCTACCTAACAATTCATGGCAGATGCAAGCAAAGCACTAAGCTGAAGATGGCAGATCTGACAATATACCTGAATCATCCTACTAATTATTTTTAGGTCTGATATATTAGTGTTTTAAGCTTCTGCCTTCCATGATGACCATCGTGGTCTTAGCACCTCCTATACCCAGACCCACTACTTGCTGAGATGGAAGATGAAGAAGGTAGTGACACAGGAAGTTCAGAATAAAGCCTTTAATTTTGTGTCCTACATATCTCAATTACTGTTCATCAAAGAGATATTTTCATCTGATTATTTCAACTCTAAATTAAGAGTAATGGCACATAGACAATCACTGGGTATTGTTGTATTTCTGAATTATCATAATATCCCAATTTTCAAATCTATTTTAACAAATGTCTAGCCCTCATTGCTTTGTGATTGCTTATTTTTAAAAAGAAAGCTATGATTTTTGAATTCAAGAAGAAACTTACCTCCAGTATTGTATGAACCCTGTCTCCTCCTGGCCAGTAAAAATGCTAAACCTTTTACAACTTTCCTTTTGACTTTTCCCTCCCTGGACAGGCCATCAAGAAATTTGAAGAAGGCTGCTCAGCACAACAAGCTTGGAAGCAGTTTCATCATATGTGCTACTGGGAACTGATGTGGTGCTTTGCCTACAAAGGAATGTGGAAGATGGCGTACTTCTATGCAGATCTGCTGAGCAAGGAGAACCGCTGGTCTAAGGTTAGAAAGGTGTACAGCAATTAAAGAGCAGCCCAGGTGTATTTGAGCAAAATATTCAAACAGTATACCAAATTGTGGAAACTGATAACCTCTTCCTTAAAAAAAAAAAAGGCAAAGTACATTAAGGCCATTGAAACCTTGGGAATTTGTTGGCCCTTTCCTGTTGATTCCACCTTTAGTGACTCAGCACCAATTCTTCCAGTTTTGAAGCCTGGCATTTGAGGAAGAATATGGAGCTGGATTATCAAAGTCAAGTGTGTGTTCACACTTTCAGAAGTGATGTACCATAACCTTAGTGCTGAGGACTCATACTACCTGGACTACTGTAACGCTCTTTACATGGGGCTCCCCATGGGGAGCATCCGGAGGCTCCAGCTGGTCCAGAATGCGGCCGCGCGGGCGGTGCTGGGGGCGACACGTCGCTCCCATGTAACACCGCTGCTGCGCGAGCTGCACTGGCTGCCAGTGGCCTTCCGGGTACGCTTTAAGGTGCTAGTCACCACCTTTAAAGCNTTTTCAACAAGCGGGCCTGACCTAGGGTGAGTTTTAAATAGGGACAATTTTTAACGATTTTAAAGAGCCACAGCTACCAATATTTGGGTTTTAATTGGTTTTTAGTAGGGGAAATTTTTTGTATGATGTTTTAATACGCTGTGAGCCGCCCTGAGTCCCATGGGGAGAAGGGCGGCATATAAATCCTGTTAAATAAATTAGAGCTAGCATCAATTATTCATGAATGGAGCTATGGGATCATAGTGGATGGCTCAATACAACTGTTATAAAAAGAGAGAATGCACAAATTCTATGCTGATTCGTTGGAAGGGAATTAAATATAAAAATGTCAATATAATTATGGTATTATGACAGATGGTGAGATTATACTATGAACATTATGTATGGTTCTGGTTATTATACCTTAAAGAGAATATTGTAAAGAATTTTTTTTAAAAAGAGCAACCAAAATATTTAGAGGATTAGAGGGGAGTATTTAGGATTTTTTACTTTGAAGTGGAAGTGGGTAAAAATAAGCATGAAGAGAATATTAAATTGCCTTGAGATAGAAAATATGGCTGATTTTCCACTATCTTACAATATCATAAGTTTGGATTACTCATTGAAGTGAAAAGAGATTCAGGGTTGAAAAATGTAGTATTTAGTTATACAACATATTGTTAAACTATGCCATTTGCTCCCATGAGATGTGGTAATGACCATTAATTTAAATAGTTTTAAAATAGGACTGAACAATTCATAGAAGACTGTTGTCATGGTTCCGATAGATGAGACCATTTAAAAGAACTTCAAAGCAAGCATTTCTTCCTTAAAGAACATTTTTATTTGGCTACAATATAACGGCACATACAAGGGTGAACCCAAGACTAAATTCCCCTCCCCTTGGTTACAAAGTTGCAAGTTTCATTTTCCACCCCAAATTGCTATCATAAATCACATTCACCAATTGTTTGAAAATGTGGGCACTTCTCCCAGCTGCTCCAGCCCGCCAAAATGTTATCAGCAATGATCTTGGTTCCCATATATGTGAAATGTTTTGGCTAACTGAAAACTACACCCCCCCTTCTTCTAACTAAATATGTGGCAACAAAGACAAAATGAAAATGGCTTCAGTTCGGTTTGTCACAGCATTGACATTTGGCTCCCCTTAAAAGAGAAATCCTGCAAATCAAACAAGGATAAGAATCCCCTCTCGGTTTACTTGGGTGTTTATCATAGAATTTGTGTATCAGTCTGTCAGCTTTCACATCAGTACTTTTCACCCAGGTGGCTTTTGACTACGGATATTCCTTCCACTGCACTAAATATTGCAATTTTCCCTTGTATAATCTAGCATCAAGAATATGCTTTACTTCGTAATGAGTCTCTCCAGCCACCACAAGCAGGCCAGGTGCTTTCTTGGGAGGGGGTCTCAGAGTCAACTCTCTAAAAGGCTTTAACAAACTATAGTGAAACACTGGGTGGATCTTTCCTAAAAGATGAGGGAGTTTTAATTCTACAGTAACCGGGTTTAAAATCTGCACTATGGGAAATGGTCCCAGGTATTTCAGTCCCAATTTTTTGGTAGATAACTTAAGTCTGAGATACTTTGTAGAAATATAAACTCCCCCCCCCACGTGGAACGACCTCTGAGGCGCTCTTTTCTTATCAGCTTGCTTTTTGTAAACCTCTGAGGCTTTTGTCAAAGCTTTCTTTGTATTGTTCCAAACACCCCTCCAAGCAGACACCCACTGATCTAATGTTTGAGAAGTAGGGGGTTCCTGGGGGTATTCAGGCATCAGAATAACATCCCTTCTAGTGGCTATCTTAAATGGCATAAGTCTGGTGCTGCTGTGTACAGTAGTGTTATAAGCCACTTCAGCGAAAGGGAGGAGATCAGTTCAATTTGTCTGCTGGTAATCCACATAGCATCTAAGATATTGCTCCACCATTGCGTTCGCTTTTTCAGCCACTCCATTCGTAGAGGGATGAAAAGCCGATGACAGTCCTCGTGTAGAACCAACCAGTTTGAGGAAATCTCTCCAGAATCTGGCTGTAAATTGAACTCCCCTGTCAGAAATTATCCATTTTGGTGCACCGTGTAACCGGTAAATATGTTTGAGAAACAATTTGGCTAGTTTCTGGGCAGAGGGGAGGCCTGAGCATGCTATGAAGTGAGCTTGCTTTGAAAAAAGATTAATCACAGTCCATATTACCATATTTCCTCTACTCTCCGGTAATTCAACAATAAAATCCATAGCGATCTCTTCCCATGGTTGAGAATGATCTGCAACAGGCTGTTTTGAGTTTGAGTTTGAGTTTTTATTGTATTTATATCCCGCCCTTCTCCTGGGCTGTAATAGCCCAGGAGGCTTTCCTGGGATCCTCTTCATGGTAGCACAGCCTGCACAACTTTTTACATAGTTCTCCACATCTTTCTTTAAGCCTGGCCACCAAAATTGCCTCCGAATTAAGTGTAATGTTTTTAAATAACCAAAGTGACCAGCTTGCTTAATATCGTGGCTGCACTGGAGCACTTGGAGCCTGAGCAGTTCAGGCAAATATAATTTCCGCCGTTTCCAAGCCAATCCATCCCTATGGGTCAAGATGGTTTGATTCTCCTTGAACCATTGATTATTTTTTAGTTCTTGTTTTAATTTCTCTATTAATAGGTCACTTGGATTAGGTCACCTCACATGTTGTTGTTTTCCAGGGTTTATCTGAGAAATAACTTGTGATGGTAGTATAATAGGGTTTATAATTTCTTTGCATTGGCTTTTATATTGAGGTAACCTAGAGAGGGCGTTAGCCAATTTCCCCCCCCCCCCGGTATATATTTCAGGGTAAAGTTAAAATGGTTAAAATATTGCACCCAGTGAACTTGTTTGAGAGAGAGTTTGTGGGGAGTTTTCAGTGCTTCCAAGTTCTTGTGATCAGTCCAAACCTCAAAAGGCATCTTGTTCCCCTCTAGAAAATGACGCCAAGTCAATAAAGCCCATTGGATTGCAAAAGCTTCTTTCTCCCAGATACCCCATCTCCGTTCTGTGTCAGTGAGTTTTTTCGAAGTGTAAGCGCAGGATTGTAATTCTCCTTTCGGGTTTTTTTTGTAATAGGACTGCCACCTCAGCCACATCACTGGCATCAGCTTGAATGATAAACTGCTCTTCAGGATGAGGGTGTTTGAGAACAGTCTTTTTAAGTTCTCAAAAGCAGTCTGGCACTCTAACGACCAGCGTAGGGGTTCGCCTGGTTATGGTTTACCCCCATTTTTGCCAGTTTTTAACAGTTCAGTGATGGGCAAAGCAATCTCAGCAAATGAGGGGATAAATTGGCGGTAGAAATTAGTGAATCCTAGAAAGCTCTGAAGTTGTTTTCGAGTTCGTGGGGGCTGCCATTCAATTACAGCTTTCACTTTAGCTGGGTCCATTTCTATTCCTTCGCTGGAGATTCTGTAACCCAGATAATCCAAATGCCTGATGGAATTCGCATTTTGAGGGTTTTGCATATAGAGTTTTGCGTTCAGCAGTTTTTTGAGCACTTCTTGTACTAAAATCGTGTGTTCTGCCATAGTCTCTGTATAAATTAAGATGTCATCAAGATAAACTAAAACTCCTTTATACAAATGATCATGCAGCACCTGGTTGATCAGTTGCATGAATACAGCAGGAGCTCCTTGTAGTCCAAAAGGCATGACTTTAAACTGATAATTTCCCAGGTGGCTGTAAAAGGCAGTTTTCCATTCATCCCCTTTTCTTATTCTCATGTGATAATATGTCTCTCTTAGTTCTAATTTGGTAAATACTCGCCCTTTCACCAGGTGGCTAACATGTCCTTCATTAAAGAAAGAGGGTACATATTTTCTACACTGACCATGTTCAGACCTTTAAAATCAATCCAGACTCTAAGGCATCCATCTTTTTTCTCCTTAAACAATACCGGGTGGCCACTTGGGATTTTGCGGGTTCAATGAAGCCCCTCGCCAAATTTTTATCTATATGCTCTCGCAGTTCATTTACCTCAAGAGGGGTCATTGGATACATTTTCAGTTTTGGCAATTTTGCTTCGGGCAGGATCTCAATCAGTGGTTCTATGGTGGGTAGGACGTCACATTCCGTCTCACTGAACACTTCAGCCAAATCTCAGAGGCACTCCTGGTAGAAGGTTTGCTGCATTCTTAGAGTTTCGGATGGCTGTGTTGAGATTCCACTGGTGACACCAGAGGGGTTGGGGGGGTGACGGTCCTATGAATAATCTCAGGGTTCTCATCCCCTTCTCCCACCATATTAGAGGTTTCCACATGTCTAGCCAAGCTAATCCCAAAATCACTATCTCAGTCATTTTTGGGGCCACCATGAATCGAATAAACTCCCAATGCTCCCCCACCTCTAGTCATACAGACTCCATTAGGTGGGTGGCTAAAACTCCGCCCATTAAGGATCCATCTGCTGTTCGAATCTCATGGGGGATGAAAGTTTTTTCGCTCTGATGCCTAATTTGAAGACAGTAGG